TGAACCCAGGAGGCTGAGGTTGCAGTGAGCCAAGATCGTGCCACTGCACTCCAGCCTGGGCAACAGAGTGAGACTCTGTCTCCAAAAAAAAAAAAAAAAGGTTTTCCTTCTTTTCAAAGGTGTTGATAACATTTTTAAATAGTGCCATTTATTGGTCTGTGGGAAAATGATAAAGTATGGCAGCTGTTTCAAATGTAGCATGGGAAACACATAATTGATAAGGATGTCAATTGGAGAGGGGAAGTTGGTGTTTTTGAATGTAAGGAGAAAACCAGAAATTTAGGGATTTACTGTCATACCTGGGAAGAACAAGGCTGAGGAAGGGGTCTGAAAAACTCCCTCTTGATTAGACTAGAATCAGGCTCCTCAGAGCCCCCTTCCTCTTGACTAGGCTTTGGCCTTTTCCTGCAGAGCTCTGTGGTAGCAAAAACCCTTCTAAGGGAGTTGAGAGAAAATTTCTCCAAACTTGATATCCAATCAAGTCCCTTTTCCCCTACATTTGACAATCTCTTCCCTAATTCTTGACACTAACCCAACTTCCATCCTCTCCCTCACCTTGTCCATTAGCTGTAAATTCAATACTGTCATTGATGTAGCCTTCATCCCCTGAGCTCAAGCAATTCTCCTGCCTCAGCCTCCAGACTAGCTGGGACTACGGGCACGGCCATTATACCTGACTAATTATTTATTTATTTATTTATTTATTTTTTGAGATGGAGTCTCGCTCTGTTGCCAGGCTGGACTGCAGTGGCACCATCTCGGCTCACTGCAACCTTCGCCTTCCGCGTTCAAGCAACTCTCCTGCCTCAGCCTCCCGAGTAGCCGGGACTACAGGCTCGTGCCACCACACCCAACTAAATTTTGTAATTTTAGTAGAGAAGCGGTTTCACCATGCTGGCCAGGATGGTCTCGAACTCCTGACCTCGTGATCGGCCCGCCTCGGCCTCCCAAAGTGCTGGGATTACAGGCGTGAGCGACTGCGCCCGGCCATACCCGACTAATTTTTAAAATTTTTTGTACAGTCGGGATCTCGCCATGTTGTCCAGGCTGGTATCACCTTGCCTTAGGCTGGAATGTTAAATATACTCTTTTAAATTATAAAAGAAAAGACTTTTCTTCACAGCTTTACCCAGCTGTAAAGAAAAAAAGAAAAGAAAAGAAAGAAAAACAAAAAACAAAAAACAAAAACGCGAAGCTCTATGAGGGGCGGGGCGGACCAAACTGTAACTAATTACATTGTTGTGCCTCACAAACTAGCCTTGTATAAAAAACGTTGTAATCCTGTTAAATTTCTTGGCCTTTTGCCTACATAAGCAAGAACTTAAACTTTTAAATTTGAAGCACTGAGCCCATTTCCGTGGATCCTGTGTTTTCCCAAATGGGCCATTCCCAGCTTCTCGCTTGAGTAAACTTTAAAAAACTGGAATCTGATCCTTTTATTTCAGGTCCACATAAGGCGACAGCATCACTGTAACTAATCAAGTATTTAATCCGGTTTGTCTCCTCATGCAACTTATAAAAGCCTTTTCTTCAGTCACAAGCCATGACCAAGTGTTTCTCACTCAGGAATCGCTGTGTGCTCCAACGAACTCTTTAACTGTTAACAGAGCCTCGGTTTAATTTTTAACAGAAGAAAGGCTGGACACATACGAGTCGGGATTCCCCGTCATGACCCTCCCGTGGTCCCCGCACAATCTTGGGAGACGCCGGGCTGCGGGCGCGGAGCTGCCCAGAGAGGGCTCTAGGGCCGGGGTCGCAGTCGCCGCGCAGGGACGGGACAGGACGCCCGGGGTCCCAGCTGCAGGCCCAGCCCCACCCAGCGGCCGAGGGGACCGAGGGCCGAGCCACGCCATGGGGGACGTGGGTCCCAATCGCCAGGGTCGCCAGAGCGGAGGCCTGTTAGTTCCATCCAGCCCCTCTTCCACGTATCTGGACGCCAGGCCGGACACATTTACCATTTCCCTGATTCTGAGTGTCCCGGCGTCCTCTTTATGACTGCGGAGCAGGTCACATAGCAGGTGACAGCGTCACAGGAGCCGTGGCGGAGGCACCTGGGGCCTCTCGGTGCACCCAGAACTGGATGCGGAGCGCAACGGACCCCAGCAGCAAAGGAGTACTGAGACTCCGAGCGCCGCCTCCTCCTTCCCCGGATTGACAGTTGGCAGGGCCCCGCCCGAGGGCCCCTGATTGGATGGGGTCCCAGGCTCCGCCCCCCGGCCCTGAATGACAGGAGAAGCCGTGGGTAACACTCCCTGCGCCCTGGTCATTGGATATCTGCATTTCAGCCAAACTTGCTACTTATTGTTAGAAGGGGCACTGTTAGCTTCCTCGATCTGTCAGAAATCTGTGCAGGGAATTCCAGACTCAGTGTTCAATGGAGTCATTCCTTTACCTCAGAGCAGGAAGGAAACCCAGGCCAGGCCAGGCAAGACTTCACCAAGAGGGAGAGGCAGCTGTCCTCTACGGCGGGAACTGGGGATAAGACTTCCTTATACTCCCCCGTCCCCCCGCCCCCCCCCGAACTTGGAACCGCTTCCTCCTCCCAGACTTCATTTTCACCAGAAGTTCTTACCTGGGGTCAGTTTAAGCTTCTAACCTAAGTAAACTACTACCTTCATAAACCCTTTCTCCAGGTGACATGTTGTAGCAGGACCAGCCGCAGATAAAACTCAGACACCGGATTAAAGAAGGAAGAGTTTTTTATTAGGCCAGGAGCGTCCGCAGACTCGCGTCTTAAAGAGCGGAGCTCCCCGAAGAAGAAATTCCTAGCCCTTTTAAGGGCTTACAACTCTAAGGGGTCTATGTGAAAGGGTCATAATAGATCAAGCAAGCGTGAGGAACGTGGCTGGGGGCTACATGCATCAGCTAACAGAACAAAAAGTTTTACAGTGCTTTCTCATACAATGTCTGCAATTTACAGATAACACAAGTAGTTTTGGTCAGGGGTTAATATTATTATTATTATTTTAACCACTAGGGCCGGGGCTGGCACCAAGGTCTTCTAGCTATTTATTTTACTTCTGTTTCTTTTCAACTTTTTGCTTTCTCCTTTTTTTCCTGTCTATATTATGAACAAAGAAAGGGGAGGTAGGGGAGAAGCTGGGAGGGACAACAGGAGAAGTGGTGGTCTCATTTCATATGTCCCCCTTTTGAGAATTTTCACTTTTTAGTGGGAGTTGTCACTTTTTTCTTTTAGAGTCTTTTTGCAAGATAGACTGATCGTGATGCATGTAATACACGTGTGCTGAAGTTGTCTATGAACTAAGGTAGCAACAAAACATATTTATCATTTGAAAAAGTAAGGGTAATACGCAGGGGAGCAGTAAGCAAGTTCCTATTAGTAGCAATACACTTACAATGAGGGTTTTAAATCTTCTTATAGCTGGAAACTATTTTCTAAATAAAGACCTAGGATCAAATTCGTGCCAAACCTGTATAGGCACACGTGCCAACTTTGTCATGTCCCTGACTATGTTTTCAACCACCTATCCTTGATCATCCATTTGTAGGCAGCAACTGGTTAAGTTAAATTTTCCACAGACTCCTTTAGCTGCTAGCAAGTAGTCTAAGGCCAGTCTATTCTGATAGATAGCATTCCTCATTTGGGTTTCCTGCCAAGCTAAAACAGTCAAAGCTCTGCCAGTTTCATTAGTAATTATTTCTAAGAAGGCCTGCAACCGTATGATCCTATTGAGCATGTAGATGGGGGTTCGGTATCCCTATGAGCCATCTTGTGCCCATGTGGCAGACCCATAATACTGTAGGATACTTTCAGGGGGCCACTCATCTTTTCAGTTTTCTATAACTGTGCTTCTCTTTTTTCGGGAGGCATAGACAGAGAAACCTAGATGCTCACCCATTTTTACAGGTAATAAGAAAAAGGACGACTTAATAGTGCCAATAACACCACTTCTTGCCTATTTATTAGGTAACCGAATGTAGGCTCTGTGCCTACATATCCAGTATAGTCCAGCGGGAGCCGTCCAGTCCTGATGAGATTCTGGATGAGCCCAGGCAGTTTTTAATTTAGAAAATTTACTAAATGGGTTCTTTTCAGTGTGGTTTAGGCCCCATTAAGTAATTGTCTTTGTTGTGCTGTTTGTACAACTTCTGTCCTATACAATTAAGCTTTCTTACAGGGATGATGAAGTCTTTTCCTTCTCTAGCTATATAGTATTGTCCAATAATTGAGGTTTTTAGGACCCAGAAGTTGCTAGCTTAGGCCTTCTGAACTGGAATTATATCAGGAGCTGGATCCGTGGGCACCAACTCTCAGGTTTCCTGAGGCCATCGATCTCCAATAGTGGTTCCCCCACATACATAACAAGAAGTAACATTAAGGGAATGAGCTACACTTTCTGCTAATTGAAGAAACAAATTTTTTGTCTTTTTCGGAAGTTCTGGGGCTGGCAGATTGAGCTCATCATAAAAGGTTTGAAACACTGGTTTGGGAGAGCACTTGTAGACCTCCCTTCGGACTAAAATGGCAACTTGGGGGTTTAACCCTGTCTTATGGATCCCTAGGGTTACATGTTCTCCCTTTTTCTAACAGGGATCTAGGGGATGGGTAATTATTAGTTCTAGTGGGTTACAGTGACCGGCAGCACAGGAGGGGTTGGCGGGGATCTAGGGGATGGGTGATTATGAGTTCTAGTGGGTTACAGTGACCGGCAGCACAGGAGGGGTTGGCGGGGATCTAGGGGATGGGTGATTATGAGTTCCGGTGGGTTACAGTGACCGGCAGCACAGGAGGGGTTGGCGGGGATCTACGGGATGGGTGATTATGAGTTCTAGTGGGTTACAGTGACCCGCAGCACAGGAGGGGTTGGCGGGGATCTAGGGGATGGTGATTATGAGTTCCAGTGGGTTACAGTGACCGGCAGCACAGGAGGGGTTGGCGGGGATCTACGGGATGGGTGATTATGAGTTCTAGTGGGTTACAGTGACCCGCAGCACAGGAGGGGTTGGCGGGGATCTAGGGGATGGTGATTATGAGTTCCAGTGGGTTACAGTGACCGGCGGCACAGGAGGGGTTGGCTTCCCCTTTCTGAAGATGAACTGGGTCCTTTTTGTTCTTTTTCTAAGTAGCCTAAATAACACACGGCCAAAAGGCACAATTTTCACAAACCTCTGACTCATGACAAACATATTTATTTTCTACTCTGTGGCTCCTTTCCCAGTTAAGAGAACCACATCCTGTTCCTAGCTTGTTACTATTAATGGCTGCACAAGCATCAAATCTTAAAGTTACTTGTTTGGGGATTCCTTTTTCTTCTGTTCTAGTTATTGTTTTACTTGTATCACCGAGGAAAAGGCCAGTTCTTAATCTTATTTCAAAAACGGTGGTTGCAGGGGGCTCAGATGGGTTATAACGCACATCAGGTTGGTCATTTCCCGTGCTACATACCTTGTACTGAGTGCCATTATACAAACAAGTTTCTTTTAACATTCATATACATTCATAATAACTATAGAACAGAAATATTGTTTTAATTTGCTGTCTTACCTCAGTGACCTCATGAATACACTGGGAACAGTCCTTAGTTTAAGGTCAGCTGAAGCCCTTTCTGTATAAGTCCAAAATGTAAGACAAATGAATTTCACAATGAGCTTTCTCATGCTTTGGAGGTGCGTGGACCAGTCAGCTTCCGGGTGTGACTGGAGCAGGGCTTGTCATCTTCTTCAGGGTCACTCTGCAAGGGTTGTCCAGGTTTGGTCTTGCCTCCCAGGTTTCAGGCGCTGCAGGTTTTACACAGCTGTGGTGGATCCAGGCTGGGATTCCCTCTACCTTCACAGCAGTGGAAGTGGTCAGGACGACTGTCTAGGGTCCTTTCCATTGTGGGCACAAAGAGGCTACGTTCCGGTCCTTGATCCACACTCGATCATCTGGGGAGAAAGGGTGAACTGGGGAGAATAAGCTAACAGGGCATCTCTCATTTACCTAGGCTGAGATTGTTTGTGTAATTTTTCCTAAAGCCTGTAGCTGTCACTGTAAGTCAATTTCACCTAACTCTCGGGGAGTGCCTGGAAGTCCCTGCAATATGGGAGGGGGCCTATGATATAATATTTCATAAGGGGAATATCCTGTTCTTTTAGCAGGGGTACATCTAATTTTAAATAATACCATAGGGAGAGCCTGTATCCATTTTAATCCTGTTTCCTGACATACTTTCCTTAAACTATTTTTGATAGTCCGATTCATCCGCTCCACCTTTCCGGAACTCTGAGTCCAGTAGGCGGCATTCAGTATCCATGTGATCCTCAATACCATTGCCGTCTTCTGTAGCAAGTCAGCCACAGACTTTGGCTGGTTATCTGCGCCGATCCATAAGGGCAGTCCAAATCTAGGAATAAGATCTTGAAGAAGCACACGGGTTACTTCACGACCTTTCTCAGTTCATGTTGGATAAGCCTCCACCCACCCAGAGTAGGTACACACAAGAACTAGTAAATACTTGTTACCTCCACACTTTGGCGTCTCTGTCAAGTCCACCTGGAGATCTTCAAGGGGGGCTGCTCCATAAGCTTGTATGCCGGGCAGAACGGCTGGACCTTGCCTCGCATTATGCTGTTGGCAGGTAATACACCGCCATTATGCTGTTGGCAGGTAATACACCGCTGTGTCAGCGTTTTGGCAAGGGCTGACAAATGCAAATATAGAAATACCGGC